TCAGAATTATGGAAAAAAAACCAATTCTTACCCATCTCCCCACAGGGTTCAGTATCCATGTACCACCTGGAGTAGGAACACACTGAGTTCTGAAACCAGATATTTGATAGTAGTTTTTACCTAATTCTTTTAAGTTAGAGATTGTTGAAACACATCCCAGCTCTCAACATTGGTATTTCCCATGAGGCCAGGCTATATTTATTTCAAGTTTTGCATTTTTTTTAATTCTTAATTTTTTTTAAGTTTTGCATTTCTTCCACCCTCTCTCATGAAAGGCTGGAGTAGGCTACACTAAAGAAAACATTTTTTTGGAGACTTCCTTTTGTTTGTTCTGGGAGCCTTTAGTGTGGTTTTCTTTTATGGTATTGTAGTCATTATAGACATTGTTCTCTTAGTTCAGTTGCTTTCTTTAGTCTGCATCAGTTCATAACTCTTCTAAAGTTTCTCTGGATTCCTTATATAACGGATCACTCTGGTTCCCACTGCCTGAAGAAAGCCAGGTGTGTTACATTGTACCATTGCTCCAAGGTTTTCCAGTATCCTTAACGTGGTTTGGGTATGTCTAGTCCTTGCCATTGGTTCCATCCCCTAATGTAGGTGTTCCCTCCTCTCCAATAGTAAGGCCTAGTTAGGTGGTTAATAGATTGCTGAACCTGGAGTCAGGAAGACCTAGTTCAAATCTAGCCTTAGACACTTACTAGCTACATGACCTTCAGTAAGTCTCAACCTGTTTTAGTTTTCTCAAGTGTAAAGACAGAAATGATAATAGCACCTACCTCACAGAATTGTTGTGAGGATCAAATGAGATAATAGTTGTAGAGCACTTAGCACAGGGCCTGGAACATAGTAGGTGCTTAATAAATGCACATTTCCTCCCTTCTCCCAATTCCTGGGGTGTCCCCTGCACTTCAGTTCCCATTAACCAGTAAAGAGTAAGATTAGCTCGTACAGAGGATTTTTTACTTCAGATGTTTAAGAGCAAATATACAAACCCTATTCCAATACGTATGGCATCCCCCTTATACCAGCTCACTCTCTAGAGAGGGAGAGAATTAGGTTCACCACTTAGTTTAGTTCATTTCCTATATAGCACAGTCCCAACAAGCTCCAAGTCCAAAGCACCCCTTCGACTCCAGTTCTATGCACCCTGGTTCTCAGGGCTTCCCTACTAGGCTATCTGGTCACACATCTAACCTGGAATCTTGCCTCCAAGGTCACCATGTCTTGAGCTCCTGGGTGTCCTGGGGATTCCACCCCCTGTGCCTAGTACTGAGGATAAACCGAATAGAACAAACCAAAACAAAACCCCAGTCAAAAACCCAAACAGAGGATACAATCAATCAATCAATCAATCAATCAATAAACATTTAGTAAGTACCTATTAGGTGCCAGGCACTGTGCTAAGTGCTTGGGATACAAAAAGAGGCAAAAGACATTCCCTACCCTCAAGGAGCTTGCACACTAAGGGAGAGGAAGGAAAGGTTGTCTTTCCTCCCACCTAGTTAGTTCATGGCACCTGTATTGTGGATGAATGTGACCTTTTTCCCTCTCTAAGTATGGGAAAGTGAGAGAAAGAGAACCTAGAGTGTCCTAATCTTGTAACTTAAAAGCCCCATCCTTTTCAATGGAAAGAAGCTACTCTGAGCCACTTGGTAGGGAAACACAGGATGTCGTCTTCTAGAAGCAAGTCCCTGGTGTTTCCCATGTGGAGCCTTGGTTACGCTCACACTTGCTATTTCTTACTGAGCAATAGCATTCCATGACATTTGTACACCAGTTTGTTCAATTTCAGTTATTCTGCAATCAATGGGCACTCACTTTGTGGGATTTTCTAAGGAGAAACAGCTCACAAATAGGAGGGCACAAATTTTTCAACCCATCCTAACTCACTCCATTCCTGGGCCTCCTTGTGTCAATTTTTATGAAATTTGGAAGCTTAACTTCTAGACTCTTTGATTCATTGGCAACTAGAGTGACTGCTTTAGAGAAACTCCAAGGGAAGGCGGTTTTATGTTGGCTTCCCCCCAGCTTTCCCTCCACAGCGCCAGCAGCAATGGAAACCTTGGTGCTGTTTTAAGTTAGTCAACTCAAAATGTATTCCTTTCAACTTAGCTATTTCCTGAGCTATTCAGTCTCATGAGTCAGTTACGAAATCTAGCCTTCGGTTTTAGAGGAAGAGCTTCACTATTTGGTTTCTAACACTCCAATGCCACTTTTAAAAGTATTCACCTTCCTCTTTGTTTTAGGCAAAGCCTTTATGCTTTTAGGGTCTTTCTAGACACAAATCCAAAGTCAGTCATACTTTTGTCTACTGTTTGCTAGAGAGTGTTTTGTGCTGTTTGCCCATGAGGACTGTGCTTTAACTAGGTAAGTGATACCTTCTGTTTATGATTAGACTGCTCCCCTTCACCTGCTCCAACCAAATAGGAAGCAGTCTGGTGTGATGAATTGAGTGCTAGATGTAGAATCAGAAATACTTGGGTTTAGTTCGTACCTCACATACTCACTAGCCACATGACCTAGGGCAGGCCATTTAACCTTTTCCTGACTCAGTTTCCTTATCTGTGAAACAAAGGGACTGAACTGAATGGCCTCTCAGATCCATTTTGGTTCTAAATCTATTATCTTATGAGCCACGTCAGGGAAGATTTAAAAGAATGGCTCAGGCTGGATAGAGCTTGCTTTCTACAGTGTGATTTGAGGGGTGTTTGCAAAGGCCTACCTGATCAAAACAAAAATCTCTCTGATCTAACCTACCATGGTACCATACCTCTTTTTCTTTGGCTTGAAATTCATTCTGAATCATTCTTAAGTAGAGTCATTGTCTAGAGAAAGTAACTGTTAAAATGCATTTATTCTTGTTGTTCAATCATGTCTGATTCTTTCTGACCCCATTTGGGATTTTCTTGGCAGAGATACTATAGTGGTTTGCCATTTCCTTCTCTAGCTCATTCTCCAGATGAGGAAACTGAGGCAGACAGGATTAAGTGACTTGCCCAGGGTCACACAGCTAGTAAGTGTCTGAGGCCAGGTTTAAACTCAGGAAGATAAATCTTCCTGACTCTCTATCCACTGCAACCCCTGTCTGCCTGGGACATAAATGGTGACACTGTAGGAGTCTCTTCTAGTGGTAGAGAACATATCAGATTAGGTTCTTAGGATCATAGATTTAGAGCTTAGATTTTTCAGATGAGAAAATTAAAACTCAGAAACACTAATTTCCACCTTTGTAACTTAAACCTGAGGAGATGAGAAGGAAACCAGATTAAGTTTTAATATGGACTAAGAGTGCCCAGGCAAAGAGGAGGAAGGCTTAAGAGGAGGAGCCACTGAAAGGGAGTTGGGAGAAGAAGGTAGGTTTGATCAGTGGTATAGGGAGGTTAATGGCAAAAAGAAAGCACAGATGCCAAAGATCAAGCTGCTCATTTCATACTTTTTCTCAGCCTTGGCTTAGACCTTCTAGGTTTCTTCCTAGATTTTCCTCCTGAAGGAGAAATCTGGGGTTAAAACTATAGGATTATATACTCCAGTAAGATTGACTTCAATTCTTCACAAAGTTCTAAAATATATTATTAAAAGGATGGTTTATGATCACTTAGAAGTAGTGACCACAATGATCCAGTGTAGATCCATGAGAAACAAGAACCCATGAGCTTAATTGGATTTTTTGGTAAAGTGGCAAGACTGATGCATCATGGGAATGCCATAGATATAGCACAACTAGATTTTGTCAAAGCATTTGACAAAATGTCTCATGCTGTACAACAGTGCTGTCAAATTCAAATGGAATTGGGGGCCACTAAACCTTATTTAAGGATCCCTGTGGGCTGCGTATATTGACTTAGCAAACCACATATTACTTTTATCAATGTTTTATTGTATTTTTATTTATTTTGTTAAATATTTCCCAATTACATTTTAATCTGGTACTGGCTGCACTCAGGAGTATTGGGGACTGTATGTGGCCCATGGGATCACATATTTGCCACCTCTGCTGTATAAAAGGCAGAAATCTGGGTTATTTGATGGCATAGCTAAGTAAACTTACAACTAGCTAAATGACTGGATTGAAAAGGTAGTCAATTTTATCGACCTGCGTGTTGGAAGGAGGTGTCTTGGAATCAGTGCTATTCGTTATTTTTACCAATGACTTAGGTAAAGACACATGCTTATCAAGATGACATGTTTATCAGATTTGCAAATGACAGAAATTGGAAAGGAGAGGTAACACAAAGAATGAGGTGATAGATAGATAGACAGATAGATAGATAGATGGATCAACAGATAGTTTATTGAATATTCTCCACATGCCAGTTGCTGTGCTAAGCACTGGGGATACAAATACAAACAAGAGAGTGCCTACCTTCAAGTAATTTATATTCTAATGAAAGAAGACAAAACATGAAAGAGAGAAGGAAAGGGGGAAGAGTATTCTCAAGGGGACAAGATGGTTGGTGAGGAGGAGGAAAAGAATTCTGGAAAGTGAGTTGAGATGTGATGGTCTTGAGGATGGGGTCATTAATCAGGAGAATGAGGCTTCAGGGTGGAAGTTTCTCCAGGGTGGAGAGAGGTTTGATGAGGATGTAGAGAGGTCCTGGGAGGGAGCTGGTGAGCTGAGATGTGCATGAGATGAATCATGGTTAGGTCTCTTCCTGAAACAGTGGTTGATATAATTCAACCCAAATTCAATTATACAACAAAATAATTAGCATGTAGGTAGGATCCAGAAAATTTTCTGCCAATCAGAAAAATGAGCCAAACCTATAACATTGTAATAGAAATTAAGATAAAGTCCTATACTTTAAAGAAGAATCCACTGCACAGATACAGGATGGATAAAATATGGCTAGACAATTGTCCATGTGAGAAAGGCTACAAGCTCAGTCAGCATAGCAGCCAAAAAAGCTAACACAATCTTCGGTTGAATTAATAATGTCCACAGCGCCCAGAAGAAGAATGGTGAGAGTTCTAGCACGGACTCTATTCCAGCCAGATCATACCTGCTCAGTTCTAGGTTCCACAGGAAGGACATTGACAAATCAGAAAGCATCTCCGGGAAGGGGCCAGGATGGTGACAGGATCAGATCCAATCCTATAGGAAGATTAATGAGGACATGACAGCTGCCTTTGAATATTCGAAGATAAATTAGACTTACTTAGCAGCAACAGGTAAAAGTTGTAGAGAGACAGATTTAACTCAGTGTAATTGATCAGTCAACACACATTTGTTAATATCCTTCCTCGTGCCCGGGACTGACACACATACAAGCATAACGTTGTCCCTGCCCTTGTGAAGTTTCTTGTTGCTATTGGGTTGTTTCAGTCACATCCAACTCTTCATGATCCCCATTTGGGGTTTTCTTGGCAAAGATATTGGTTTGCCTTTTCCTTCTTCAGCTCATTTTATAGATGAGGAAGCTAAGGGAGACAGGGTTAAGTGACTGGCCCAGGGTCACACAGCTACTAAGTGTCTGAGGCTGGATTGGGACTCAGGAAGATGAGCCTTCCTGACTCCAGGCCCTGGTGCACTATTCACTATACAAGGTAGTAAAGTGCAATGTAGTTAGTGAGGAAGGACATTGGCACTTGAGGGACCAGGAAATCCTTTGTTTAGAAGGTGGTGCTTGAGACTTTTCTTGGAGGAGGAGAAGGATTTTCTCTTAAGTGAGACACAGATAAGGAGGGATCATAAAGCTAGAGGTAGAAGGGATCTTCAAGGTCATCAAGTCCCTCCTCCCTATTTTATAGATTAGCAAACTGAGGCCCAGAGAGGTTAATGACTTGCCCAAGCTAGTATCTGAGGCAAGATTTGAAACTAAGTGTCCTTGACTCTAAAGTCCAGTGCAAGGGGGATGGTCATTTCTAAGACACGGGGAGTTGGAAGGTTCCTATGAGGAAAAGAAAGGATGGGTTTTCTAGTCCAAGAACTGCATGAAAGGGAGCAGTATACAGTAAGGCTGGTAAGATAGGCTGGGACAAGGTGGTGGAATGCTTTATTTATATTTGTTATTATTTTATAATGTTTATTAATAATAAAAAGTATTTATTTATTATTAACTATATTTATATCATTTATCTATATAAGGCAGTGTTTATATTGGATCCAAGATGTAATGGGAACCACTGAGGATTATGGAGTCTCTACACAATAATGATAAGGTCAAATCTATGCTTCAGGAAAAATTTCCCGAAGTGGAGTGGACTGCCTTAAGACGTAATGGCTCCCGCCTCACTAAGTGTCTTTGAGCAAAGGCTGCAATACTGTTTGTTGGGGATGCTATCAAGGAGATCTGTTTAGGTACCATTTGGTGAATATGATCTGTGAGGCTCTTTTCGAAGCTAAGATTCTGTAAAAATCTCACAGTGGCTCTCCCCCCTCCTCCTACTTCCAACTTTGCCTCAAGGCTTAAAGAGAGTGAGTTCAGGGAAAAATGAGATTTGAAAAAGTTGGGGGTAGGGGAAGATTACTGTAATACAGGAAGGGCTTTCCTAGATTAGGAAAGAAATCTAAACAGGTTTTGCAGCCTGTGTTTGAAAAGATGAACCACTGCTTCAGGGCATCAGGAAGCAGGAGAGAAAGGTTTTCCTGCCTGTCCTAGAATATCCTTTAATCCATTGCTGGTGTCCAGATCCTGGGACAGTTGGACCACTATCAATACTGAAAAGTTTAAATGCAATGGTGGGAACTGAAATGAAGAAGACATCGTCTCTCTAGCTACGTAGAGATTTTGCTTGATTACATACTTGGGTTTTTCAATGTACTATGTCTTTCATCACTTTCTTTAGAAAGGAAAAGAAAAATCCCAGCCTATTGACCTAATGGAGAAAACTGATGTGCAGAAGGCAGGAAGCAAGATGTAGGATCACAGGTGCTGCCTGAATCAGCCCCTGCTGGGTGCTCTGTGAAACCAAACCTTCAGAAGAGATTGTCTTGACGCTTTTAAGTGATTTGCTCATCCTTACTCCTAAGAGGGACTGCATCTTCCTTCGCCTGCTCAGTTCCTGGCTTCCTGTGGGCTTGCAGCATTCATCCTGTCTTTAGAGTGAATTTGATAGGTACAGGAAGTCGCACCAGACTGGAGATTGAACCAACAATCAATAAAAAAAGAACTATGGTTTTAAGAAAGATGCATCAGAGCTTCCCCCAGGAGTTGTACCATATGTCCTAATACCCGTGGAACAATGGATTTAATTTTTAGCTCCCCCGGTTGGCCTTCCCAGCTATAGAGGCAATTCTGAAAAAGGATTCTTTCAACCTGCCGTCCTTTACGCTTGCTGATGATTTATAGATAAGGAAGACCTTGTTTCCTTTGCCCACTCATCAATAACACAAAATAAAAGCTGTTCTCTCTCCTATTCTCTCCCTCTCCTCTACTCCACCCCCCCCACCCCAAGCTTTATTTCTGATGGCTACTAGTTTAGTATATTTATGGTGCATGAGTCATCAAGCTGTCTCCTGATTGGATGAAAACCCAACACCCCTGGGACTGTCAGTCAATTACAGCTATTCTCAGCTTCATTCACAGATTTATTAGCTTGCACACAGGGAGAAATTCATTCAGGAAAGTTCATTCATAAAAATTGCAACACTCTCCATATCATTTTTAATACCTCAGCATTCCACTGTGAACTGGATCTTGGAGGAAGATAAGTACAAGACCAAGCGAGTCGAAGCAGCAGTCTCCTGCACGCTGATGAGTCTGTGTGAGGATTTAGAGTAACACAGCTGGATCTTAAGTCTCGGAAAGAATGTTGAGCATCACAGGAGTTTTTCCTGGATTGCTGGGCTGAAGGACTTGCAGGATGAGATTTTCTAGAAGAAGCCAGAGATCATATCAGATTGATTCAGCATAAAGTGACTTTTGCTCATATGCTTTAATTTTTTATAAAAAAAATTATTGGAAGGAATAAAGGATATGAAAGGGTTACCCTGCAATTCATTTTTTCCCTTGGGGAGCTGTACAAGAAGGGTTTCAAAGTGCAGAGACCAAGAAGGGGGGAGTAAATATTTCAGTGGGCTAGAAATGTTGAGAGACTGACGAGTTGGCTGATTTGTACTGCTTTGTGTGGAAGGCTCTGTGTGTGTGTGTGTGTGTGTGTGTGTTTGTGTGTTCGTGTGTGAGTGAGCTTTCACCGCAGTCTGGGCTCCACCATTAAGGCTTTCTCAGAGAGCTGTAACAGCGGCAAGAAGCCCAAGCTCAGAACAGTTTAGATGCCTGGATTCTATTGCAGGAGCCAGTGTAGGGAGGGACAACAGCACTCTGACTAAAATCAGTGATGGGGACCTGGTTTCTGCATCAGCTGTTACCTCCTAGGGTTAAAGATGTCCGGGAGATGATCTAGGCACCCTGAGCACAACTCCTTGCTTAGGAGAGAGTCTGAAAGGAGAGAGAGAGAAGAGAGAGAGAGAGAGAGAGAGAGAGAGAGAGAGAGAGAGAAGAAGAGGAGAGAGAAGAGAAGAGAGAAGAAGAGAGAGAGAGAGAGAGAGAGAGAAGAGGGAGAGAGAGAGAGAGAGAAGAAGAGAGAGAGAGAGAGAGAGAGAGAGAGAGAGAGAGAGAGAGAAGAGAGAGAGAGAGAGAGAGAGAGAGAGAGAGAGAGAGAGAGAGAGAGAGAGAGAGAGAGAGAGAATCAGAGAGGTTTCTTTCTCTGAATTGTATGGTGTGTTGAAGCATTTAATTTCCATATCGTTTATCTGCCAGACGGGAAAGCCAATTTATGCAACAGTATCCTGTTTCAGCCCTGCCAAGGCTATGAGAGGACGCAGTCCGGAGAACCTCGGTGGACACGTACTGTATGTAGGACTCTTCGGGCACCCCGGGATGCTGCACAGAGCCAAGTATAGCCGTTTTCGGAATGAGCCCATCACTTCCTTAGATGAAGGGTCTTCTGGAGGCTCAGTCAATGTCAAAGGTGTACCTCAGACTTCTCCTTCTTCTCCCCTGCCAGTTCACCTGCCTGGGGAAGATGTCACCTTGGCGGCTCAAGATAACCCCACCCCACTGTGCACTTTGATGCCCCGAATGGCAAGCCTCAGACTGGCCAATCCAGCAAACCTACTGGGACTGAAAAACTTCTGCCTGGGGACCAGAGAGGTGCCCAAGCTCAAACTCTTGGAGAGCCGGGGGGCAGCTCCAAGCAGCCCAACTTCGCCAGAAGCCAGCCTCTCCCAGGCCACATCTGCTGCATCTCCCCAGCTGGATGTAGAGACTCAGGACAGCTGCATCCTGCCCATCTCTGAAGCACCACCTTCCCTGGGCAATCAGGATGGGTCCTCTCGCCAACACCTTTTGGGGACTGGCATGAACTACTGTGTGAGGGTAAGTCTATTTCCCTCAGTGTTTTTGACTCCTAAGAGCTGATTAAGAAAGGGATCTTCTAGATCTGCCACTAGCTCTCTTGATGACCTTAGGTAATTTGTGTAGCTTCTCTGGGCCTCTGTTTCCCTCATTTGTAAAATTAAGGAAGTTGGACTAGGTAATTCCTAAGGTTCTTTCCAGCTCTAAAGTCTAATCTATGATTATTTTTGCAGCCTCTGTCTCTGCTGTGAGGAGCTAAAACATCATGTGAGCTTAGAAATATGAAACAGGCAATGTAATGAGTACACCTGAAAAATAATATTATGTGTTTGGGCAATTAAAGGGTTGAAAGAGGTGGAGATCAGGATTCTGGAACTTCCCTAATATACACTTGAAGGGACATGTTCTCAGGTCAGAGCAATTTTTAATTCCAATTCCAATTCAATGACGACCATTGAAGACCTAGGGTAAGAGAAGGTGCTACTTCTAGACAGGAACACCTACAAAGATAGCCATTTGATTCTGTTTGAGTCCATAGAGTCACCAGAAAATAGTCAGTGATTTCCAATCTGAGAATCCAATCCACTGAGCATCTATTAAGCACTTACCATGATTTCTAATCCAATCAGCATTTATTAAGCACCTACTATGTGCAAGGCACTACTGTAAATGATATAGAGACAAAATAGCTCACATTTAGTAGCATAGTAGAAAGGGCATGGGATTTGGTGTCAAACTATCTGGCCTGGACCTGTGTGTCTTTTCAAGTCATTTCACCTGTCTGGGTTTTAGCTTTCTCGCCTATAAGATGAGGGAGTTGGATTAGATGATATCCAAGCTCCTTTTTTGTAATTTACTTCATGGTAAAATATTTTCTCCTGTCATTTTATTTGAGCTTCACTGCAAACTCATTACAAGCAGTACTTAGAGCTGTGCCTGGCACACAGTAAGCACTTAATAAATGCTTGTTGTTTGACTGCCTGTGAGTTAGGCAGCACAAAATCATTATCCCCATTTTATGAATGAGGAAACTGAGTCTCAGAGAGGTGGAATGATTATTCTAAGATCACATATTTATTAAGCAGCACACCTAGTACTCTAGCCTGTCTTCTGATTCCAAGTCCAATGTTCTTTCTGCTCCACCCCATTGTGGATAGGTGAATACTGACTATTGCACCATAGATAAAAGGGGAGGAAGGGAAAAGTGAGGACAAAAAAGGTGTGGTAGGAATTTTGATCTGTCTGCTTAAAAAAAAGACATTTAGTACTCAACAGGTGTTTGTTAAACACCTGTCAAGTGCCCAGTTATGCTAAGGCCTCCTTGGAGTCGGGGATAGCAGATATATTAAGGTGTCTGCCTTAAAGGAATTTACTTGAATTAGTGAGAAAAGGCACACACACACACACACACACACACACACACACACACACACACACACACAGAGTTTCATTGCTATGGGTGAAACTCATGACTAATGCAGAGATCACCTGCTCTGAAACTTGAAGTCTTAGAGTTGCCCGGGGACATTGAGTGACTTGGCCCAGGTTACACAATCAGTATTTGTCAAAGGTGGGTCTTGAACCCAGATCTTTGTGACACACAAGGCCAACTCTCTATTCACTATGCCATATTGCTTCACATAGTTGCTCATACACATTCATATACGTATACACACACTATACATTTATGTATCTAAAATAAAGAATAATTCTTAAGCACTATGTAATCAAAGGCATGTATATTCTATATTAGTGTTGTCAAACTCAAATAGAAATAATTCCCTACAAATTGCATATTGATTTAGGAAACCACAGATGAGCATTATCTATGTTGTATTGTATTTTTATTTATTTTGTTAAACATTTCCCAATTACATCTGGTTCAGCCCAAGTGTGACACCTCTTTTCTACTCTCTCTTTCTCTCTCTCTCTCTCTCTCCATATACATACATATATATATATATATACACACACACATATGTGTGTGTGTGTGTGTGTGTGTGTGTGTGTGTGTGTGTGTGTATTTAAGGAAAGATTATTAGCATAGGGATAGTCAGGGAAGGCTTCCTGGAGGAAGTGAGTTTTAATCTCATTCTTAACAAATGCTTTGGATCTAGCTTGGCAGGAAGTAGGACATTCTAGTCAGGTGAAACAACCCAAAAACACAGAGACAAGAATGACCATGGTGTTCATTGGAGACAGTGAGACTGGGCCGGTTAGGACCAGACTGTTGGTCTACTGTTGGATAGTAGTGGGAAATTTAAGTTGAATAGCTAGGAGTGGTGTCCGATGGTAAAGGTGCCTGAATGCTAAAATTAGGAGTTGGGACTTAATCCAGTATTTAAAAGAGAGCTATGATAAGTTCTTTAAAAAAATTTCTGAAATATTCAGTGGCTTTCTATTGCCTCTGTGTCAAAATATAAAAACCTCAGACTAGCATTTAGCACACTATTAAAGGTCCTAGCTACCTTTCCAGTCTCATTTCATATCATTCCCCTTCTAGTACTCTCTGATTTAGTCAAACTGGTCTCCTAGGTGTTCCCCAGCTAGGCAACTAGGTGGTATAGTAGAGTGCTGGGCCTGGAGTCAGGAAGATATGAGTTCAAATCTGGCCTCCAACACTTACTAGCTGTGTGACCATGAGGAAGTCACTTAACCTCTGTAGTTTTCTCAACCTTAAAATGTGGATAATAATGGCAGGGGGGTTGTGATGAACAGAAGAGGTAATATTTGTAAAAGCACCAGGCACATAGGAATCAGTTGTACAAATTTTTATTTTCCTTCCTTGTCCATGTGACATTTCATCTCCTTCCTTTGCATAGATGATCCTCCATTTTTGGAATGCTCCCCTCTCCACCTACCCAATGCCTAGCTTTCTTCAAAGCAGAGCTCAGGGGCCTCCTTCATGCAGCCTTTCCTGATCCCAGTCACCAGTGTTGTTCATGACTCTTCCCGATCCCATTTGGGATTTTCTTGGCAAAGATACTACAGTGGCTTGACATTCCTTTCCCCAGCTCATTTTACAGAGGAGGAAACTGAAACAAACAAGGTGAAGTGACTTGCCCAGGGTCACATAGTAAGTGTCTAAGGCTGGATTTGAACTCATTAAGATAAGTCTTCTTGATTTCAAGCTCAGTGGTCTACCCACTGTGCCACCTAGTTGCTCCTTCCAATCACCAGTTATCCCTGCTTTGTCCGTCTTGAAATTACTTCCTGTATCCTGTACATTTACTAGTCTGTGTGACATGTTTTATCCCCCCACCCTTCCCAGTAAAATGTAAACTTCTTGAGAACAAGGACTGTTACATTTCATCAGTGCCTTTGTGTTACCAGTGACTAGCATAGTGTTTTACATATATGTGTGTGTGTTTGCCTATATGATTATATATACATATGTATATTCACATAGGCAAATGTATGTGTTTCTCTGTGTGTGTGTGTATGGGGAGGAGAAAGAGGCGAACCTATGATTTCATCAGCAAAGGGAAATTCTGGTATGGAAAATCCTTCTCCCAGTGCAGACTGGCATCTTGTCTGGAACTTGTAAATATCAAAGAGTTTCCTGAGGGCACTGTTGTTGCAGAGAGCAATATTTTTTGCATAAGTGACTTATCCAAGGTCATATATAGCTAGCTCATGATAGACATAAGATTTGAACTTGGGTCTTTGTAGCTATGCATATGGCTCTTTATCCACTATAACAAGCTCCCTCTCCACTTTGCACGCAGTAGGCATTTAAGAAATGTTTGTTGAAACGAATTTAATTCTTAAGCACAGGAGGGACCATTGGTGAAAGTGTTGTTTTAGGAGTATTAGTCTGGTAGTTATGTGTGGGATGGAATAGAGAAGAAAGATAAGAAAGAGGCTTTTTTAGTAATTCCTTGTGGTGAAGAGGAGATGGTGTGAAGATGAATGAACAAGCCCATACAAGAACCACTTGAAGGAATTGGAAAAGTTTAGCCTTGAGAAAAGAAGATCTAGGGACAACAAAATATGTCATCCTTGAATATTTAAAGCATTATCATATGGAAGAAAAAAGCAGGGACTTGCCTCATTCCAATTTGCTTGAGGGACAAAAGTAGGTGACTGTTACTGAGGCAGATTTTGGCTGGACAAGAGGAAAAGTTTCTAAAAAATTAGAGCTGTCCAGAAGTGGAATGAATGGGCTGCTTCAGAATGTAATGAGCTCCATATTACTGGAGATCTTCAGACAGAAGCTGCACTCTTTTGCTTGAGAAGTTGAATGCGAATTCCTGTTGCATTTGACTTCTTATCTGAGATCCCTCCTAGCTCTGTGATTCTGATTAGAGTGGTAGCCGTGGGAAAACAGAAAGGTATTTCTCCTTGGGAAGATCAGTCAGCAGTCTTTGGCAATTAAATTGATATAAGGAGGAGGACAGAGAAGAGGAGGGTGGTGGGGAAAGCCCGTCATGTCAAGGATTGTAACCTAGAAAGCAGAAACCAGGAAAATGGAGAAGGAGCTGGTAGGGAGAAGGAGGTGCATTGTCAAGGGGAAGACAATGAATTTGCATTTAGATGGGTTAAGTGTGAGGTGGTGGTGCCTGCATGGTGAGGCTGTGCATGCAGTTAGAAAGGCAAGGCTGGGTCTTAGATGAGAGATCAAGGCTATCGTTATAAATTTGGGAGTGATCAGCACAGAGCTATAGCAGTAAAGTGGTGACTCCTCAGGGGCAGGGATTGCTTCATTTTTTTTTTTACTTTGGCTCCCTAGGGCCTGGCAGAGTGACTTATACATGGGTAAATGCTTAACTTAAAATTATGTGACCTTAGATTTAGAGTATAAAGGATCTTGGAGGCCCCTTAGATAATCCAATTCTCTCAGTCTTACAAATGAGGCAACTGAGGAATGACTTGCCCAAAGTCACACAGATAGTTAATGGCAAAACTGGAATTTGAACCCAGGGCCTCTGACTATATCCAACACATTTTCCACTGTACCATTCTGCTTATCTAAGTAGGTCAAGATCAAGTTTGGTACATGTGGTGAAAACTCACTGGAC